AATAATTGGATTTTCTTGTTTAGTAATTCAAGAGAAAATTCATAGGTCAGAAAGTTGCACTTAGGATTGTGGGCAATAGTAATTCAGCAGCCTTTTAGTTTGTGTTTTTAATAAGCTTAATAGAAAAAGCAGACATAAAATAAAAGAAGTATAACAGGCTAGCAAAGTTTTTGTAGTCAAGGCCTCTTCTTTTTTAAAAAAAAAAGTATACTAAAGAAAGCTGGGAAGTGATTGTGGACAAATGTTCATGCCTTTTTTTGAGAGAGAGAGAGAGAGAGAGAGAGGGAAAGAATAAATCTTAAAGTATCTGTTTTGCTATTCTACTTTAAAAAAAAAAAAACCAGGTCGCCAGTCATTTCCAGATGACACAAGGATGGAGTTACAGGGCAAACTTCTTGTTTGTTGACCAACTTCACTTTTTTCTTTAAATTTGTTTAGAGAGAATCTGGTTCTTTTAGAACTAGATTAAATATGTAATTTAGCATCATTGACAATATTTTCTATTTTATATATGAGAAATATGCACTGAACAACAAGATATTTTCTTTTGCAGTGTGCAACATCAGTTTTGTATTTGGGATGCATAATAGGTTTTCATGATGACATACTGTATGCTCTAAAATACTATATATGTTCTTAGAAACATTAAGGACTGATATATGTATTGTGACTTTTAAAACTTTTTGGGGAGCTGAAGCTATAATACTGTACTATTGGGTTCTGTATGTACATCATATATGACCGGACTTTCAAGTTGTTATGCATTGTGCAGTACCTCCTAACTATGTGCATTTCTTTCTTTCCCCAGTTACCTATCATTATGGTAGTTGCTTTTTCAATGTGCATTATCTGTTTGCTTATGGCTGGTAAGTAATCATTCAGCCTTTCTAAACTTCACACCATATTGCAAATAGTCTCTGACTTAAGACCTATCACCAGTTACAAGATTTTCTGCGGTACAACCTGGATTCAAAGTGGTCCCTGTGGTCATGTGACCAAACTTTGGGCACTTGGCAAGTGGATTGCATTTACAGCCATTTGCAACATCCCATAGTCACATGACAGCATTTTATGATGGTTTTGCCAAAACTAGCATTTACATCCAATTTTCAGCAAAACTGCATCTATAGTGAACCATTGGTTTGCTTAATGACTGCTGTAAGAAAGGTTGTAAAATTGGGTTGGTCATGCTATTGACCCACTTACAAGTGTCATGACTTATGATCATGATACTTAGGCTCCCTTACAGTCATAAATTGAGGTTTTGGGTGTTTTTGGGGGTGTTTTTTTGCAAGATTTCAGAAGTGGCTTGTTGATATTGCCCCAGGGCTGAAAGAGGGTATGACTAATCCGAAGTAACTTTACTTACTTTGTACTTAAGGTAGGACTAGAATTCACAGTCTTCTAGTTTCTTATTATAGTTTATTAAAGGTTAATCAGAAGTGTTTGAATTTGCTTTCTGGAGTTTTATATCTTCAAGACTCCTGATACCCCTCATGTATCATCTTCTTTCAAATTCACAAATGGGGAAAATAGCTTTTACAAGTTCATATGTTAGAATAATCTTTCACCACAGCGATGATTGTCCTTATCATGTAGAAAAGAGTTATTTTTTTAAGGGAGGGCAGTTGTCATGATCACCATTTTTGTGGCTTGTAATTGAAAAGAGTTTATTACATTTTGCAGGGGACACATGGACAGAGACACTGGCCTACGTGATGTTCTGGGGAACTGCAAGTTTTGGAACTCTTGCTATCATCCTTTACAATGGCAAAGATTTTGTAGATGCACCTAGGCTGGTTCAAAAGGAAAAAATGGACTGAATTTGTGTGTGTGGAAAGCGGCTTGGTAGAGATGACTCCTCAGTTCATACATGGAGTCTCTACTGACCTGCTTTCCACACTAACTTCTGGGGGCAGGGTTAGGTTTCATTTTTGAAGGGTGAGAAAGTGATTCCACTTGGTTACTTGGTGGAAGGGACTGACTTTTTTGTTCTATAGTTGCAATGATTGCATTTGTTGGGGAACTTGCATACACAAGATGGAAATGAAAGCCACTAACGCTGTGCCTAACACAGGGAGACCTGAATTCCTAAAGAATCTGTGACTGTATTATTCCAGCAGTATAATATTGTAAGAAGTCTTAGATAGCTCCATTGCTAAGGAGGATTATGATCTTCTGGTGTGTCAAGAGATCTATCTGTTGCTAGGTTAAAGTACGTATCAGTTATCTTCTCTGGTACATGGAAAAGCTTTGCTTATTAATCGTAACAATTGCTGCTTTACTGATTTCGGATTGGATATCCATATAATCAGTTTGTAATATTGCAAATACAAGGTTATTTTTTTTAATTACGTCAATCCAAGAGCAACTGTTTTCTTAGATTTCTCTAATAAAATACTTTTTTTTTCTGAACAAAAGTTCCTTCAGCCAGCTATGGATGAGAATAATGCAATATTCTGTTAAAACGTTGTGAGGATGAGACGTAGAACTGATTTTTCTGGGATATGTCTTGTGCTGCTTTAACAACTGTTGCCCTTAGCTTCAGATAACAAATTTCCATGTGATTCAAATTGTTTTGTTTTTTAAAAAGATGTACATGAAATCAAAGAATGTAGAAAATGGTTATTTAAACCCTCTCATGCTAAAGGTCCAAAGTATTCATTTCTTTCTGAAGAATCTCAAATGGAGATGGATTTTTGAAATTGGCAATCCAGTTACTATATCTGCTGCCTTGGATTTAGTAAGAATGATCTGTAGAAAATTGAATGAATATTTGATAATTTTTTCTTTGGAAATATTCCATGTTTTCACTTGGGATCAGCATCAGCTTTTTGTGCATGCCATAACTATTTCTCTACAACTGTAACTCTCAAAATGAGTAAGCTATAATATAGTCTTATGCTAATTATTAATAAATACATGTCTCAATTCTAGTGCTTCCAAGCTTTCTATTGAAACTATACCTAAATCAAGGACCAATTTAAAACCATTCTGTCATCCATTTTCTAATTTATTTGTGTTCAAAACCAGACATGAATCAGCTTCAAGTGCAGTGCATTGTTTTTAGTAAATTCAGCTGAAATTATGTTATTTAAATACTAGGAGACTGTGTAGCAAGTTTCAGCAGATAAAGGTTTCCTCTCCTAAGTTAAAACTAAGCGGATTGCTACAATATTTTCATTGTTTAAAAATTGAACCTTACTATATGAACTTTGGAAACAAAAACTGTTAACTGAATGGGGTGGGGTTTGTTTGTGGGGGTTTTTTTTTTGGATTATCTTTTCAGTTATTTGTAACAAATACATGCTGTTCCTGTTTTCTTAATCTAGTTTAAAGAAAGCAATGGGGGGTTCCACATATGCTTAAATATGTGGAAAACACAAGAAAACTGTGCATTAAATGGATGGTCTCTATGTTGTTTTTCTTTTAAAAGGCTCTTCCTTGATCCTTCTGTGCATTTCTTAAAAATAACTGCAGCAGAAGAAAAAGATCTGGATAGTTTCTAGTTGCTAGATGAAAACTCAAATTCTTTAAATTTGGAGGTTGGGAGAATGTCTATTCCAGTGCTTTATAAAAAAGGTTGCAAACAATATACTTAAACAATAATAAAACTTCATTTTTTTTAAAGTAATGTCTTTTGTGTCTGAATGTTAGACAATGTGTACAATATATATAACATTTACATTATAAAATTCCTTCTTCCATCAAATATCAACTTTTTAAAATCATTCATATTGTATTATTTTCAACATCTTGCAGGTTGTTCTATGGCTATGCATTATGCTAAGTACCACTGTTTTATACCATTGTATCTGATTAGCTAATTACATATCAAATTCATACCAGCAAATGAGCTCTTTTTTTTTTTACTATAAACTCCTTTAAATGAAGGCTGGAATAAAATAAATTCAGTCTCTTGGAGAAAAAATGTATAAATGTCCCCATCTCAAAAAAAAAAAAAAAAGTAACCATTTCATGTAATGTGGTTTTAAGTATTCCAGCAATTTCTAATGCTGCAATTAATTGGCTCTTGTTTTAAAACAATGTTTCCACCCTAATCCATACAGAAGCAGGGGTAATTGATTGACTTAGAGTGGGGGGGTTATGGAAAAAGTAGCAAGACTTGCAGCAGCATCTTTGGACCAGGATTGCAATGATTATGAGTGGAACATCACTGGTAAGTCTGGCTGCCTTATCTCAGGTAGTTCTGTTCAAGTCTGCTTTAATTTTAGTTTTGAAGCACCACAGATACTGGTGAAAGTTTGGAGTGGAAAGAAGACAATGATGCATTAACAGGAAGAAGAGCAATATTTTGAAAAACACTTCTCAATTAATATGCTTCTGCTCTCTGCTCGCACATGTAGAATTTTTGGGTTAAAAGTTATTTTGATGGCTGTTCCTTTGCCTGCCTATTCTAGCAACAGCTGTATTTACTTCTTTCCACTATATAAATTAACCAGTCCCAAAAGCTTACAATTGTTTATATTGAATGACTGTTGTGGCTATGAAGAAAAATGTATGTAGGATTTTTTTTTAAAAAAAGGTGTATGATGAATTTAGTAAATAAATTTGAAATGACAACAGCCAAATTATGATGTTTTTGAAGAAGCCTTCTGTAAAGAATCCAGATTGCAAGCAAGTGACTTGCACTTGTACAAATGTGGAAAGTAGTGTCACCAACTAATGTGCCTCCTTAACAATCAACCATCTATCTTGTCAAGGCAATGATCCTAAAATATACCTGAAATGTTTAGTTTGTGTATATATAAAAATACAAACTTCATAACTATGGCTCAGTGTTTTTATTAAAATGTTGCTGGGATCCTCTCTCCATGAAGTGTATACGAAACTCGTTTTTTATGTCACCTCCATCATCTTGTATATGGAGCTGTCTCATGGTTTTACCCACCTCAGCATGCTAGAATTTGTGATATTGCAATGGTTTCAATTTTATGAAGACTAAGACCATTTCTAAAGTTAGACATATAAACCAGAAATGATGTGAAATTAGTTTATTGACACACAATAAAGTTGGGTATTATATGGATAATCAAATGATAAACATCTGGGACAAAAAATTAAATTAACATTATCTAATCTGCTTAGGTTTATCCTAAGAATTAGTAACTAGTACACAAGATGTAATATCAGACATATTAAACATAACATCTATGATTTAAGGCCCAAGAATTCAAGAAATAGATATTAGTTTTTATTCCTTCAGTACAGATAATTCTCAGTGTTTCTCTAAAAAAAATTACCTCAAAAGTTCATATCATCTCAAATTGTTTCAAGTGCTCAAATAAAAGTTATAAAAGTAGCTACATCTATCAATTGTCTCCATATGTGCTCTCGGTTATTCTGACCATCTGGTATTTCACACATGTACATAATGTCTCATTTCTGAAGTTATGTAGAAAGATTGGACTCTAAATGAAATGGGGAAAATACCAGATGAATTGTTTTCAAAATATCTGCAATTTTAGAAATCTGGATCAAATTATAAAGAGGGAGGCAGAAGGCAACCTGCACTAAAAAAAATTAACACTAAGCTCACTAAGACAGCCCATTAATACATTGATAGAACTCAAAACCAGTCACCATCTGGACCAACTAGTAAAATGTATACTGTATCTAATAAGCTAAAGAAAATAGGACAAGAAAATCCTGCTGGTGATGTTACCTAGTCTGGCAACAAAACGTTCAGAAACTAAATTAAAACAAGTTTGGAGAGCAAACCTCTGCCAAAATCTAAAACCCAAGCTACAATATTTTCTATTATTTCAAAATATACTGCATCTCCACACATGATGGTAAGAACTATAATTGACATATATACTGTACAGATCTGAAGACCTACAGTTTGGAAGGCTGCATCATATTTGCTTCTAACATTTTTTTTATCAAATGACCCAAATATCCCTTTCCCCTTTTTCAGCTTAAGGGCAGAGAAACTACAAGTACTCTGGATAATACCATATGTATCCTGTCAGTCTCCTATGCACATAAAAGATCTTCACTCCCATATGGATACAACTGCTCTCCCAAATTACTGATTCCTTTGACAGGATTCTGGAAACTTTTAACACTATTAGCCAACTAATAGTGATGCCAATAGGAAGCTACAGGGCTAGTGCCTTTTTCTATATGCTTAAGATGGCAAGAATGGCAAAGCAAATGTTCATCTAATGGGTAGCAACGGTGACCATCTTCATCATTGAGTTCCATTCCACAGTCCTATGTAAAAGAGAAGGAAATAGAATGTTGATTAATACACTCACATTGCTCCATGTAAGTAACGGTCAATCGATTCATGTTAAAAGCAAATCATTAAAATATGCTACTTCCCTAAAAGTATCTGCCTGCAGTCCCTATTGATGAGGAACATTCTTCTTATCAAGCTAGTTGGTTCATTATGTAGGAGAATCTGAGCACCAGGCATTTCTATTTTGGAGAATTGGCTAAATTCAATTTTTAATTTCATTAAAAACATAACTCTTTGTGATAGCTAATTCAATATACCCAGAACTGTTTGAGTGTACAAATATCACAATATCTATGCTATTTTAGTCAGGCTTTATAATTGGGGGGGAGGAGGGGAAGGGAGGAGAGGAAAAGAAACAATATCAGTAATGAAGCATTTTATCAGCAGAATTAAGATGACTGAAATCTGATTCTCCAGCACTGGAGATGGAGGATCCACCCATGGGTAGTAGACTGTATTCCTGCCCAATCAGATTAAGTCAGCCAAAGTTGCCACGCCCGTCCTGGACCCTAGATTCCAGTCTTGACTTAATCTTGCCCATGGACGGACGTGTAACTCTGGCTCTCAGGCAGGTATAGTCTAGACTATAGGTGAATCCTCCACCTCT